TAATAATAATAATAATAATAATAATAATAATAATAACAACAACAAGGGAAGGTTCTTGCTGCTTGCGGTTGTGTTGCACTGTTAGACCCGCCTGTGAAAGTGTTTGGTTCGGCGCTGATACACGTGTTGTGCTGCTGCTGGCTCAGGAACTGCAGCTCCAAGGTTTGCGTTATTAATTGACGCGCATTATGTCTTATCTCCTTGTCATCAGATGAAAAACACATTTGCGGCCCCGGAACAAAGAGGAGGTGGAATTGTTGTTTTCTCGAGCTGTGTGACTGTTCACCCGCGGCGGCGACTGGCCCCGCTGCGTCAGGATCCTCAGCCCCGTGAAAACGAGCAATTCTCACAGAGCAGCGGACTGCGGTGCCTAATGTCTGCAATTGTCAAACAGAACCCCGCTTTCTTAAGTTATTTTAAATCATCTGTTGTTTTAAAACGGTGCATATGCGTCCAACACATACGGTACATAAACACGAGTGTCTAACAAATCGGTTTGCTCGATTGGAATCAGAAAGGTCCAGGAGTACATGTGAGGGTTGCAATCACCTTCAGACGTGTTTGAGTCGTCGGAAAAGCCAGTGTCCGTCGCCGGACTGCGAGTTCTGCTGCTCTTTGTGTCGTTAAAGCTGTAGTTCGACTGCCTTCGCCGGCGGGGGCCGTGTTCCTATTGCTTTGGGAACGGGCGGTATTTTCTGTCTCTTCTCTCGCAGTTACGTTATAATAACAGTTTACATGAGCTTGTTGGGTTTTGTTTTGAAGAAGAAGAAGCTTATTTTTCCATCTGCGACCGAGGCTTTCAGGACGGACGCGCACACGGGGGATCTGGACTCGAGTCCTGCAGTCGGGCCTGTCCGGCGGTGTCCGCGCTGCTGCTAACTGGACGTCCAGCTCTGCGGAGGGCAGCGGCAGGGAGCGGGGTGGCAGCCAGTTTTCACAGGGCCGGGACGGGCTAAGAGAGGACCGCGGGTGGAAGGGCTGTCAGTGGCGCGCTGATTCATCGCTCTCTTGTGACTCCAGAACTAAGTCAACAGCGAGCAGAAATAATGTGTTCCGCCAGGGCCTTATTAAGCAGGACGCAGGAACAGCCAGATAAATCAGGTTTACAGGACGGTGTTTTTCCCTCAGTGATGCTTCCCACCCACCGAGGGGAAAAAACACAAAACACAATCAAGTTTCTGTAATTTTATTTCACTCGGTAATGTGGCGCTTCGGCTGCTGGAGGCTGCTGTGCAGTTCGCCCCGCGGTCCGGGCGAGCGAAGACAGGCCCAGCGCTGTGACACAAATGTCAAATTAAATAACACATCGAAAACGTGTCACTCGTTTTCTCTAATGACGGTTTAAAACCACCGAAATCAGCCACATCCTCTCACCCCGGGGTCATGTCGGTGAAGGGTCTGTGTTTAGGGCGCTGTTCAGCAAAATCCAGGGAGCGTGTGGGCCGTCTCGCGGAGGTGGGGGGGGTCACGAAGCCTGGCCACGAGCGGATCGGGTCAGCACGAGCCAGGGCAGATGTGTACCTGTGGTGCTCGCGGAGGAACCGGGTCTCGCGGCTGCAGCTTCCAGGAACTCCGGAATTTGCACAAAAATATCTACTCGAGGATTAGAGCTAAACATTGACACACGAATAAATTGTTTCTTCGAATGGCATAAAACCTCCAGAATTAAATAATGGCATGCAGTTAATGGCGTAAAGATTGGGGGAAAAGTTTTTAGTCTACTTAACATTTTAACTAAAAATATCGCAAGATTCCTGATGCGCAGCTGGAGAAGTGGAGCTCGTTCGCTGTTGTTTTACAGGCTGATTTGCACTGTGTGTGGGATATTCATATTAGAATCGACGAGCGCTTATTTAGAGCGCCGAGAACTATACGCGATCCTTTCAAAAAAGTGCAGCTTCAGCTCAGTGCAGAGAGAAGTTCTGCAGTCGCGCTGTCAGTGTCAGAGGAGCCGCCTCCCTCCTGCCCTCCTGCTCGAGCAGAGGCAGGTCGCGCGCAATCTAATTACCCCCCAGCACGCGCGCTAATGCAGCGCCCTGGCTTGTGTCAGGACGTCTGGCACCGCGCCCGCCCCTGACTCGGGGACAGGGGGCTCACCGTGTCGCGACCCCCCGCCCGTGAGCAAGTATTGTCCATCACTGCGACACGTATACGTATTAACAGAGGCGATTGAAAGTCATAATTACAAAGATGCAAAAACCCGCTGTCCACGGGCGCGTCAGGACTGTAGTTGTTCATGGTTGTTGTTAGTCGAAACGATTCACTGGCTGTGAATCGCTGTGACGTGATGTTTGGGACTGGAGTTGTGCTGGACACGGCGTGGGAACCCCTGCCACACTGACATGTTATTTGTTGTTAAGGATTATTATTATTATTATTATTATTATTATTATTATTAAGGATTATTCATTCGGCAGTTCTTCAGAAAATATGCACTTCTTTGATATGAAGCCCAAGGATGTCCAGAGCTCGTGCTGTGTGTGTTGAAAGGGACGTGTCCTTGTGATTCCTGTGTGTGTGAGCGTGTGATGGATTTCAGGTTGATGGGAGCACACTGTGGTCAGGAGAACTAAACAGAGCTCGGACAGATTCTGTTTGTACCCCCCTAAGACCCCCATCGACCAGCGCCGTGAGCTCCTAGCCCCGGGGCCGTGCTGAGACCCCGACGTGAAACTGCGTTGTGTAGTTGTCGAATCTGCGTCGTGTAATTTTTGGTTAATGTAGCACACCAGTCGGGCCGCCCCTGTGGTCACAAAAATGTACTGTCTAAACACTGAACACGAATCTGAGTTACAGGCGCATCCCGAGTGTTTACTGTAGCTCTGTTTGAGGACACAGCTCAGAGGCCTGCACGGTACACACTGACATGTAACATATATAAAGGCAAATGTGTTTTTCTAACCCTGCGCACGGCAGGCTGGTTTTCATCTCCCCGCAGAGCTCGGCTCGTCTGTCCTCTGAGCAGCAGAGTAGCTCGTTGTTGAGATGGCTTCTGCTTGTCTGCCCTGAGCTCTGGTGCCCTGGCCCCGTCTGCCCCAGTGCCCTGCCCCTGCCTGCCCTGCCCCTGTCTGCCCCAGTGCCCTGGCCCTGCCTGCCCTGCCCCTGTCTGCCCCAGTGCCCTGGCCCTGCCTGCCCTGGCCCTGTCTGCCCCAGTGCCCTGCCCCTGCCTGCCCTAATGTCCTGCCACTGTCTGCTCCAGTGCCCTGCCCCTGTCTGCTCCAGTGCCCTACCCCTGCCTGCCCCAGTGCCCTGCCCCTGTCTGCTCCAGTGCCCTGCCCCTGCCTGCCCTAGTGTCCTGCCACTGTCTGCCCCAGTGCCCTGCTCCTGTCTGCCCTTCCCCTGCGTGCCCTGCCCCTGTCTGCCCCAGTGCCCTGCCCCTGTCTGCCCTAGTGTTCTGCCACCAGCGGGTCACAGGGCTCCTGACTCGGACACAGCGCTGGGCAGGTCGTCCCTGTCATGAGCTGTCTGTGCCCGAACACTCAGCCAAGTCTAGGAAGTGGAGTTGGAGGTGTTGGTGGACCAGTAGGCGAGGAGACACTGCTGCGCCTAATACGTTAAACCGAGGTCCTGACCACTGGTCAGTACAGATCCCAGGTGTGCCTCTCAGTAAGAGTAGAGGTGTTGAGCCCAGTGTCCTGACTACCGGTCAGTACAGATCCCAGGACAGTTTTCAGTAAGAGTAAGGGTGTCAATGCTAATGTCCACTCTGGTCTTGTAGTCTGCCCCCCTAAAGTTCCCCCTCGATCCACCTGGCTTCTCTCTCCTCCCCGGACCAGAGGGGAGCTGCTGTGTGTTGCTCACATGGGACCCTTTGTGATGAGATGTGCGATTTAAATGTCAGGATTGATTCATTATTACTAAAACTGAAGGCTGTCACTCAGCAGTGTTCTTCACTAACAGCCTAACTAACAGCTACTCTGGGGCTGCTAACACAGAACTGGGAGTGTAGGTGAAATATTAGGCTTATGCTTGTCCAGTTTGAAACGATGGCTGGTGTCGCTCACTGGAAGTCGAGGGCTCGTCTGAGTCTGAGCCCCCGCTGGTGTCCGGTCGCTCTCGGGCAGGACTGACATTAAAGTAACGTCCCGGCTCCCTGCTCTCCCCGCGCTGGTGACGCCCGAATCCGTCTTCCTCACTTGGGTGTGCCGGACGGGCCAGTTAGGCACAGACCTGGCTCTGCACCGTGGGCTGAGCAGAGTGCGGTACCTCAGGGGTACAGCCTGGAGCCACACTGGACGGCTGTTGTGCTCCAGGTGTGAGCAGCACGGCTCTGACTGTCAGGCAGAGGGCATTGTGGGGACTCTGGGGCAGAAGACAGAACCCCTGTCCTGGGGCAAGAGAGGGTCTGGGGGGGTCTAACTGCTCAACCCCCCAGATCCCCACAGATCCCCACAGATCCCCACAGAGGGTGCTGCAGAGGCATTCGGGACAAGAGATGAAAACTTTTAACCTCTTTTATTCACCCAAGTCCAGACTGAAGAAACACCTGAAACCTGTAGGTCCAGGTGCAGGCAAAACCCGCCCCAAACACAAGACAAAGATCCCGTCCATCGGCGTCTGGGACATAAATAGGCTTAAATGCCATTCTTTCTCTCCCTCGCTCTGCCTCTCCTCTCTCTCCCCCTTTCTCTCCGCGTCTCGCTGCTTGCACAATTAAAAGTTCATTTCCTGGTGATTTTTTAAGAAGTGGTGACGTCAGAGCGCGGCGTCAGAGTGGCTGGATCTGCGGTCCGGGGGCTCGAGCGCTCGGGCACGGGCACGAGCACGAGCAGCAGCTCCAGAGAGCCCACGAGGCACGAGCAGAGCGAGCGAGGGGCGGACAGCCCCGTCCTCCGGCCACGCCGAGTCCAGCCGGCCCGCTCCCTGCTCCGTCGCCGGGCAGCGGGTCCTGTGAGTCTTTTGTACCAAACTGAGAAAGGTCAAGCGTCTCTAGCGCGCAGTCGAAGTCTTACCTCAACAAATGATGTTTCAGCCCTTCGTTTGCAACTCGGAAACGCCCCGAGAGGTCTGTCCGCTCATGAACCTGCGCCCCGCAAAGTCGTGAGCGGGACGCGCGTTTCTGTGTGGACACGTTAAAGTCACGCTTTACATTCGCACGAGGTGGTCCCTTAGGAAAAGCAAAAGCAGAGCTGCCCTTGGGAAAAAAGTTTTTAACTTTATTGCAAAAGCAGTCTGATATATAGCTATCAAAATTGAGTGTGTTCCACCTTAAACCACATTTCTTAAGGTATGCGAGTACATTCTTATTGACTAAAACTAAGGAGTTTTAGAAATGAATTAGAACTTATACAATAATTCAGCTAACAGCGATCAATGGTTATGATGATTGTGGCTTTATAATTTTTGTTTAACAACCACACTTATAACCCCTAATTTGAGATAAGACGGGGAGGGCAGTAAGCAGGGGTTCTCTCTTCTGGGCACCAGTGTAGCACAGAGGACTGTCCATCGGAACGGTGGCAATATTAACACTTTAACGTCCGGGTCTTCTACCATTACTGCCATTGTCGCCAGTAACTCCCGTGACCCGCGAGCGCAGTTCGCACACTGGGGAGCTTTCACTCTCCCTCCCCTGGTGAAAATGCCCCTCGCTGTGCCCGGCCCAGCGCTCAGACCGGACAAGCGGGTTTGGCCGAGGTGAGCAGCCGGGCGGGTACCTGCCGTCTCTGCATACCTGCCGAACAGTCACCCGGAACGCGCGCTGCCACGATAACCCTCCCAGCACCTGACAGTGAGATGCGCAAGACAGGAAGACAGCAGACCAGTCGAGCAGTGTCTATATATGCATATTTCTCTCACTTTTCTCATGAGTATTGCCTTCCACTCACACCGGCAGCGAGTCCTCAGGGCCATAGCGAGCGCAGTGCAGACAGACCTGCGTGTCTTCACTGAAAGAGCTGGAGACGCGCACGCCTTGTGTCCGAGGTAGAAGAAGGTACTGAGGAAGAAAGAAGTTTGAACCCCCCCCCCCATCCTGCCCGGACATTTTACAGCAGGACAAACGAGCTGAGCAGGACAGGTCTGACCTACAGAAAATCAGAGAAGCGAAACGGCGCAGAACATCCACTTAAAAAAAACTGTACCGCGCATTGCTACAGTTGGCAAAAATCTTTGTAAGTGCGACGAGTACTTCGATTTGCGAAGCCTTTCTCAGCGCGCTGGGGCGTGAACAGGCGTGAAAAGACAGAGACCTGGGCGGCGGGCGGGGCGCAGGGCGGCTTTTCAAGAGGCTGTGCTGTAACTGGCCCCGTGCGCTGAGCTGCTGGCCACATTAATTGGCGACACAGTGTCTTTGCCTCGCTGCCTGTCTGCAGTGCAGGGCGCTTTGGAAGCAGCTAATTGTTAACAAGAGTCAACAGACCTGAGCTGCATCACGCCCTGCGCGCACAGGGGCCGAGAGCGAGAGCTAATTAAGATGCAAAGCGCCGTTTGATCGCCCTCTTTCACAGACAAAACCTGTTTTTATAAGAGGAATGTTGCCACCACTAATTAAAACAATTAGGCGGGGGCATCCAATGGGGTAGCTTACTAATGACCCTTAAGGGTTTGGATGAGTAGCCTTCCGCACCCCTCCTAACGCTAAAAATCTGATTTATAATGGCAAGAGGTTTTTTCAACGGGATCTTTTTTCATGGAGACAAAATCGATTTAGCAACAATAAACTATCCCCAGCCCAACTATAAAAACCACATTACCATGTGAATCATAGAGATGCAAGTTGTTTTTGTTATTGTTTTTGGTTAAAAATGGATCGAATAGTCAAGTGATTTATTCTTATTTGTGCCACTCCCTACGAAAAATCACATTGTTTTACACGAACTTTACCTCACAAACCGTGTTTTCCAGCTTGCCGGGTTCAAGAATGTGGTGGAAATAGCTTTGTGATTTTTCCAAGTTCAGTTTAAAAGTCGTTAGGAACGTTTTGCACGTAACACAAAACAAACAAAACAACAACATTTCTGAAACAAATTCTGGTTCATTATTGTCATTGTCTTCCAATGGCTCTCCTAATATTTCAATAATAATAATAATAATAATAATAATAATAATAATAATTTAGTTATTTGAAGCAGGAGGCAGGTTTGAAAGAGGCTGCATTCAGTACTGGACTGTAGATAACTGGAAGTTCAGGCTGTCGCGGGCAGTTTTATGAGAAGCCGGGTTTGATGCTGCTGTCGGGGCGCTCGGGCTCAGGAGAAGATTCAGTGAATCACCTTCCCGACCAACAGGTCCGGGGCTGCAGCGGCCTCGCGGAGGGGGGAGTAGCCAATGGCGGCGTGTGCGAGCCCTGATTGGCTGGCGGGGGATCACTGCCGAACCTGCGGCCCCGCCCCTGCGTGCATGATATCCAATTTGCTGGCGCCAGCCCCAGCAGTCTCCGCCGCCGCCTGTCGCTCATAGGCCCGCGTTACTGTCCCGGGCTGTGCCGGTCGAGAGGAGCGCAGAGAGCCCAGCCTGTGGGAGCATCAGCAGCCCGTGGAGCTGGCGGATCACCCAGCATCACCCAGCGAAAGCAAAGCCGTGTCTGCGGGCAGCCCGGCCCCAGTAGGCGTTTCCCTTGGTAGGAAAAGTTAAAAAAAACTGAGCGATAAAAGAGTTAGAGGGCGCGGAGAGACTGGCGTGTTTTGGTACATCAAAGCGGCTTCTGCTTAAAAAAATCTGTGAGTATGAAAACTTTTCCCCCTCTTGCAACAGTCTTTGGACGAGCTCGGCCGTGTGGGTTCGAGGCTGCTGGCGGCGCGCTCGCCGCGGGTATGTGTGTGCGGTCAGATATTCCTAGAATGACCTGCCTTGTGCGTCTTGACTCAAAACAGTCGTGGGCGCCCGCGGGGGGGCGGGGAGGGGCGGTGTGTTTGGAGTATCGCTCATGTGTTGCGGCTCCGCGGTGCATCTCGCACAGATACACAGATACACAAGCCAGGAGGCTGCGCGCATAGCTGGACCGGTCGATCGGGGGATACTGGGGGTCCCGGCGGGGGCAGCCCGGCCGTCAGGTGTCTAATGTTTGCATCTGATTGGCTTGCAGGTGCCCAAGCGGCCAGCGTCGATGCCCATCGGAGAAGCCTTTCCTACTGTGACTCCTAGCGTTTCTCGGGACGCCCTGAAATCCGGCTGAAAGAAACTTTTTCGTTTGAGAGAAAGAAACACGGCGCATTTTCCGGCGGGGACTATAAAGTTGTTGTCACGAAGGCTCACCGCAGTGAAGACTCGGAGGAAACTCGAGTGGGTAGGAGGGGATCAGAGGGCGCACAGGACAAGTCCCGTGTCGGAGAGGCGCCCCTTTTCGCGCACAGCCCCCTCGTGTGAATTTCGTGAGTGTGCTCGCCTCCGGGTCGCGACATGGAAGTGGCGGCCGACCAGCCGCGGTGGATGGCGCACCACCACGCCGTGCTGAACGGCCAGCACCCGGACTCGCACCACCCGGGACTGGCGCACAACTACATGGAGCCCGCGGCCCAGCTGCTGCCCCCGGACGAGGTCGACGTGTTCTTCAACCACCTGGACTCGCAGGGCAACCCCTACTACCCCAACCCGGCCCACGCCCGGGCCCGGGTCTCCTACAGCCAGGCGCACGGTAAGACCGCCCGTGTCGGTGTTGTGGTCTCGTCTGTGACAGTACGTTGAAAGTGTCGTTGCAATGCGCGTCTGAACTGGTGAATAGGTTTTAGAAGCGCGGCCAGGCGGGCCTGACCGGTGTCTGAAGTCAAAGAATAAAACGATAAGGAGCGAATGAAGAGTCACTCCGCTGCCCAGTGCTGGTCCGTGTCTTCCTGGCCCTGGAGCTGGAGTCGGCCTTCCAAAGGGACACTCTCCGTGGCGCCCTGAAGTGTCGAGGTTGTCTCGGGGGGAGTGACCTCGCAGCTGAGCCCACTGACAGCGCCAGAGCGGCTTCGTCTCGGCGAGGAGAGACCAAAAGCACTCCGAACCCCCTGCTGACACCGGCCGGGCCTGGCTGAGCGGTACCGGCCCGAGCCCCTCTATCTGCCGCGCTACCTAGAAATGTTGTTGAAAAGCAAACGATTGGGGGGGGGTGTGGGGACTTCTAGCAAACCGACAGAGGAAGGGAAAGGAAGTCGCAGTCATGTAGCCCTTCATCGGGGGACAGAGAGAGAGAGCAGAAGGTTTCACACAGAGAAGCACTTCCCGGATGTGAAATCAAAACGAAAATCGCTAATCATACTCGAAGTCTTGGTGCCTGAGCCGCGCTTCAGGGCGCTGGCAGTGCTGCCCTGACACCTCTCTTCCCCCGGAGTCCGGCCCGGCTGGCGGCGGCGCTGAGCCCACGGGCTTGTGAGCCATAAACAGCACGCGAAGTTCTTTCGTAACGGTTTTTTTATCATTATTTTCGTTTCGTTTTTTTTTTTAAAAAAAAAAAACACCAACAGCAATGCGCTGTGATTTCTCGGGTTCTGTTGAGCGGTGAGCGAAGTTCGTTTCGCTTTGAGGCCCCGAAGCTCCGAGCCGGAGGCGCCCGTCCCGTCGCGCTCTGCTGCAGAAGAGCCTGGGAGCCCCTGCGGGCTCGCGGTGGAGTGAAACTTGCTTCTACTTTTTTTTTTTTCCGAAAGTTGCTGTTTTTTGTTTGTTGTTGTTGGTGTTGTTGTTTTTTGTCGCCGTTGCTGGCGTGTGGAGGTCAATGTCTCACAAACTCTTTCCAGCTCGCCTCACCGGGAGCCAGGTCTGCCGTCCGCACCTCCTCCACAGCCCGGGGATTCCGTGGCTGGACAGCGGCAAGGCCGCCCTCTCCGCCGCCCACCACCACAACGCCTGGGCCGTGAGCCACTTCACCAAGCCCGGCCTCCACCCCGCCAGCTCGGCGGGCCCGGGCGGGCTGTCCGCCGTGTACCCGCCCGGCAGCGGCTCCGCCACGGCCTCGGCGTCCACCCTCACCTCGGCGTCGCACGCCAGCCCCCACCTCTACAGTTTCCCCCCCACCCCGCCCAAGGACGTGTCCCCGGATCCCGGCGCCGCCTCGCCGTCCTCCGCCGCCAGGCTGGACGAGAAGGAGTCCATCAAGTACCAGGTGTCCCTGGCGGAGAGCATGAAGATGGAGACCCCCAGCCCCCTGCGAGCCAGCCTGGCCGCCATGGGCGCCCAGACCCCGTCCACGCACCACCCCATCCCCACCTACCCCGCGTACTCGCTGCCCACGGGCCACGAGTACGGCGGCGGCCTGTTCCACCCAGGCGGCCTGCTGAGCGGCGCCTCCTCCAGCTTCACGCCGAAAATGAAGAGCAAAGCGCGGTCGTGCTCAGGTGAGTCTATTATTATTATTATTATTATTATTATTATTATTCAGTAACATTGCCGTCCCTGAGAGCTTCCCAGAGAAGTGGAATCGAATCGGTTCGTTCTCGGTTTCTGTCTGTAACTGTTCGCGCTCCGTCTGTGACTGAGGAGCTCTGCCGCGCTCCGGGTTTATTTCGCTGTTCATTTCACAACCGCTTTTACTTTCGTTTGGAAAACAAACTTAGACAAATAAGGCGATCGTGACTGTGCTTCAGAAATTTCCCTCTGTGGGATTTAGAGTGTGTCGCCCAGACTAGAATTTTTTTTTATCTGATAAAACTCAGCTAAGTCATGAACAGCTGCATTACAAATTGCTTCGAGTTTCTTTTTGAACAATTCGGTGAATAAAATGCGTTTAAAAGGCGCTCAGCTGTATTACTGCAATAGTATTATTCGAAGGCTGTGAAATTTCGCTCCATTAATATTTGAATGGAATGATCAAGCAGAAGAAAGTTAATTTTTAATGTTCCAAATTGAAATTGCAACGAATTTTTAAAGAACACAAAATAATTATAGCTTTTCCGAGGGCTGTAATTCGTTTACTACTTTTTTTTTAGTTTTAAATTATTCTATTAACACACAAAAAATCATAAGTAAAAAAATCACATAGGCCTAAAAATAAATTTGTTTTTTTGTTAAAATATTCGTTTAGCAGGACTACTGCAATGCTGTCGCAGCGCATCTTCTCAGAAAATGGTTTGAGAGCGACAGGAGTCGGCATTCCCACAATTCACTAATTAATAATAATTATCTCGCCCCCGATTCTTAATCCTCCGGCTGTGTTTTAGTTTGTAAACATTTTAATCGTCCTGAACAAATTAACTACATTCCGGTGCAAATAAATAAAGACGAAAACGGCAGCGAAAGTTTATATTTTATTTGTTTTTTTGCCCCGACTGTGTGCCTTGAGGTTTGTGCGAGTGTAATTTGTGTTTTGTGTGGGGTGTAATCTCATCCTGGAGTCTCTACAGCTCTTATCTCTCCTGGACCCAAGTAAACACACTTCAGTGAAAGGGGACACTTACAGCGGGTGTTACACAAACACACCTCACCGGGGTCACGGACTCCAGCCGACACGTTAGGACAAGGAGCCCGACCCGCAGACTCACCTGAAGAAAACCCACTCGTCCTGTACCTGCTGGGCGCGCGGGTCCGCTGGAGCCGGAGGGGTTTCGCTCGCCCACGGCCTCGCGCTGACGCAGCCCGGGATTCAGAGCAAAGCGTGTGGAAGAGACGGGAAAAAAACGACAAAACACACCGGCACCAGGCCTAAACAACGACAACAGCGGTAGCAGCGCCGCGGTAGCAATGTTTTTATTTCTGTATTCTGTATTAAAATATTCTGAGGGAACAGAAGTTATTGGGCAACAACTGAGCCGTGAAGAAAATCAAAAACGACCGCTGATCATTATTCAAGGAGAATTACGAAACTGAGAACTAATTTATTTGGTTTATTCCTTAAAAAGTTTCTAAGCAGACATCATAATAATAATTGTAGTTGTTCCTGTCATCGTCTCGGTGACGAGAGCTCGCTGTGGCTCAGCTGTCCTTAGCCCTCTCAGCCATGTGAGTGAGTGTTTCCGCACGGACCTGCGTCCACTTTCACACAGAAACACGGAGAAGCGACGCACGAGGCACCACGAGTCACGACACGCAGTCTCCGGCTGCATCCTGTCTGTCCGGGACCCCACGCCAGCCCGCGGGGCCCAACACTAACAACACGACGACCGCGCCCCGCTGTTTGTGTACACCGCCCTGCTGTGCGGGGCGTGTTTCTGCGTGATGAAAAAAAAACACGCTACCTCCTCCCACCCCTGCGCTAAAGAATAGTCGGACAAAACGGGCCGATGTTTTTCCGTGGAATCGCAGCTCTCCCGACCACGGCCACTCAGGCCCCCGCAGCGCGAGGGCCGCACGCGGTTCCGAGGGGGTTCGACCTGTCGCCTGCGAGCGCAGACATGAAAGCCGGCACGCAGCCGCGAGGGCTGTGTGTGACGGGACCCCGTCCGAGCCAAGCGACGGACCCCCGGAGAAAGAAAGCAAACTGGTCATTAGACAGAAAATCAAAGGAGTGTGACCCCACTGTGCTGCTGGTCTCTCACTGAGACCCGGTTCAGGAGACCGGCGGACTGGGCAGCACCAGCGGAAACTGGCACGTCTGGCCCACTGCCAGAGAGAGAGCTGTCCCAGAGAGAGAGCGCTGTCCCGGGCACAGAACTGTCCCGGAGAGAGAGCAGTCCCACTAGGTGACACTGCAGACCAGAGGCGCTCTCTTGCCCTGGTGACGGTGTGTAATTGGTTCAGAGTGGCAGTTTGAGGGTTTTTAACTCCAGCTTGGCACTGGTTCTGTGTCAGCAGCTGTTTTGTTTGAAGAAGACATCTTTCAGCACAAAGCGCCTCTATGAGAGGAAATCTGCTGTTTCAGTTTAAGGGCACATGACCAAAACGTTCAGCCCACAAATCAGTGCGAAACTTTAAAAAGCTACAGAACAGCGACCAGCACACGACCATCTTGTATTTGGTCCCTTTGCTTTAGTGAAAGTTTAGAAGGACGAAGATTCCCACAAAATATTGCAGGAAAAAAATCATGGATCGCTCCCAGTAACCAGACCGAAGGAATCCTCTTGTTCCTAAACTGTTCTCTGTGCCTCAGGCTCCCAGACGTTCTAAAACGCTGGCATGACATTATTCTGAGAGTCGCAACACATACCTTACTCTGGTTTCCTGTTTGATTAACCCCGGAGTCAAGCGGGAGTCTCATACGTCCACAGAGCCCAGAAACAGCCCATCCTGGTCTTGTTTCATCCAACTGCTCATGGCTCTTGGGCTGCAAGTCAGATTCTGAGCCTTCACTCATGCCAGAATAAGACTCCCCTTGAATAATCACCACTCTGTGGGCAGTTGGGGACGATTTGGTTTGGCTAAACAGTTGTTTGGGTTCCAAACACACAGTAAGAATTCGAAAGAGCACCAGCCAGCACTCTGACCTACTGGCACAGCTCAGCCTGGGCGAAGATGGCCACTTGAGAGCCGACAGAGAGGGCACCAGGCTGCGACTGGGGTCTCAGTTCATGACTCGGCTCCGGCGAGCGGCCGGACCGCTGGACTGCCGGTGTTGTGACCAATGCTCAAGGACGTTGCGCAGAGCCGGACAGAGCCTGAGCCCACGTCCAGTCGACAGCAGTGCCATCTGCGTTCACACCAACAGGAAACTGATCTTTGGCTTGTTGATTTGAGAGCACATTTTGGATTCTGCGGGTTAGCAAATAATTCTTTGTGCACAGATTGTTTTCACGTGGAGGGCACAAGCTGAAGCTATGCAGAAGTGCATTTAAAACCAAGAACAGGAGGCACCACTTTACTCAGAGAGCTGTGGGAGTGTGGAACTGTTGCGGCTGAAGCTGATTCGGGCTTCTTCCAAGAACTGCATGACACCTTCACCTTATCGTTAGATAACTTGAGTGGCCTTGTGTTTGTAACCCTTCTTTCTTCACTGGCACTTCAATCCCAGAAATCCCAGAGAGCAAATCGCTTCTCTTGACTCTGGGCAGCACTATGCCTTTGGAAGTAGGCACACAGACGTTTCTTCAACCGATTCATTAGTAATCACAGCCAGATTGATAATGCCGTACTTAACTCCCTCTCTGCTGGATACTACTGAATCTCTCTGGATCTCCAACCCCCAGAATCATCTAACCAATCGATTGATAAAAAGCCGCTCAGGTGCTGCATGATGTTGAAGTTCCTTCTCCTGCTCGGAGAGCTGTCCGTTCTGATTCACAGTCCCTCTGTGATCGGGACTCCCTGCCGGTTGGTTCTTCACAAGCTCCAGCGCTTGCAAACCCGACACCAGCAGTCAGTCAGACACCGACCCCCTGAGAGAGACCCAGCTGTCCTCTCGCGGGGCACAGCCAGAGGCACCTCCCTCACCCGAACCCGTGTCCTCACAGCGCCGAGCTCTGGACACACGCAGAGCTGTTTCTGAGCCGCATGACGGGTACTGAGGCTGCCTCCTGCAGCACACACCGAGGGCTCTGGCACCCCCTGTGTGTGGCAAGGAGGCGCTGATGCCCGCGCCAGGCCCCTCCTGGGTGCCCGTGTGTCTGCCCGGTTCACTGGCCCAGCGTGGGCGACGGTCCGCTCCTCTCCGCTGTGGGAGTAACCCGTCTCTTCCTGTCGCACACAGAGGGCCGAGAGTGTGTGAACTGCGGCGCCACGTCCACACCGCTGTGGAGGAGAGACGGCACAGGGCACTACCTCTGCAACGCCTGCGGGCTGTACCACAAGATGAACGGCCAGAACCGACCCCTCATCAAGCCCAAACGGAGACTGGTGAGTGAGCACCCCCTGCCTGCCCCTCCCAGCAACCTGCCCCCTCCTGAGATTAGTACAGACACTAACTGCCCCTTCCAGCAACCTGCCCCCTCCTGTAATACTACAGACACTAACTGCCCCTTCCAGCAAC